CAGAACAAAATGTGTGATGTCAATTTTAATTATTTTTCACAAGGTGTTCACTTTGTTCTGTCGAGCAAAAATTAACACGTCTATTCAGCTCTGTATCTAGTCAAAAGTGAGCTAATACAATAACAATTTAATGATATAAACGACAACTGTCAAGTGCGACTGCAGCGCATAAAAAATGTTGTTGACCAAATTACGCTATGACCAAATTACGCTACTTTACCCTATATGCGGAACCCGGTATTTACAGCCCCATTCGCGCGGTTTCCGTCATGACGATTCACAAGCGGGGACTTAAAGCTCCGCCGTTAAAGCTCTTTACCCTATTACCTCTACCGGAGATTCTATTCAAAAATTCGTGTTCAACTTGACAAGTTCAATTTTCGTATTATCAGTAACAGAGTTAGTCTCTCTCTTCTTAAATACATGCTTTACAACAACTATATCTTTATTCATCTCCGCTACTTTGAAATTTAAATATTGCGGTAATATTTTGCGTTCCAAATTTCAGATCTGCACTTCAAAATGTGTACAAGTGCTCGAAAGAGATGGGATATTTCAATTTTGTAAAATTTATTCGTTCCATTTAATTAAATTTTTAGGCAAGGAGAAAAGAGTTTCATCTTTAAGGCTCTTGATTTTCGCGATTTTCCGGATTTGAAATGCATAGAATCTATACTTCTCTGTACTTCTCCTACTTTTAATATAAAAAGTATAAGAAAGCGCCACGTAGAAATGAATGGATATGACGATGGCGCGCGCGCCCGTCTTGTCGGCAACTTTGCATGAGCGACAGACAGCGAATTGCGTGCCGACGACGGAATAGAGAAATCTATCTGACGCGGGTGAGCACGACCTGCCGATTTGATTGCGGTTGACGTATCGAGGAAAACGTAACAAACGGTCCGTCGCTTTTTCATTCGGACTTTCAATTCCGCGTTGTGAATTGTGACTCGCGATCTGATGATTCGATCTAGGCACGATGTACCGACGAGCAATCTTTTAGTAGCCCGGCTTTCGCGCGAGTGCTTTCCCTCGTGCGATCGAAGAATAATATTTGCAACATTTTCGTGCAAACGAAATGGCCCTCGAAAACTACTGCATACCGAGAGTCGTCTTGGGGCGCTCGGACGGCGCATTTTCGAGAACGTTCGCTTTATATTTATTCCATCATATATTTATGTTTAGAAATTTTTGTTTATATAATATCAAAGAGAGTGAGGGAGACATTTTAGGTTTCGAAGCTTTCGTAATCGACTTAGGGAAAGTTTAGGAAGTCCCGGTATAACCGATTCGTAAACTCAGTTACTATTTGTTTTATGCTAACGTAGAGTTAATTACACCGATGCCGGGAGTTGATGTTTGAGATGCTTGATTATATTTCGCGGAACTGCGTTTAATTGCATTTTCATGCGATTGCGAGGAATTTACTTTGCTATCAGGATGATGACTTTTCGGATACTAATTTTTTTTGTACGGCCGCCAAAGAATTAATGTAATAAAAAAAATAATTAAGAAAAATGTATTCCATTTTATTCTTTGTGTATACAGTATATAGTATATTAAGAAATTTGCATTCTGGATACGTATATGTTAATATATATATATATATATATATATATATATATATATATATACTATACTAAACTTTTGACGCAACTGCCTTAAGATATATATTATACGTGAGAGCACAAAAAAATTGGTCTTAAATCAAGATAAATATTCTCATGTATAAGCAAGAATATTATAATCTTCTTAGAAGATTTTAAGTCTTAAATTGAGTGTAAAAAAATACTTGCATCAATATAAGTTCAACCAAATCAAGACTAAAATTTTCTAAGGATAATATTCTTTTACTTTACTTATGAGAACATTTATCTTGATTTAAGATTAATTTTTCTCCATGCGATCGTCACTCTTTTTTATGCTTTTTCTATTAGACATATATACATGCAAATTAAAATACTACAAACTGCAATGCTTCTTTTGATAAAAGTGGACCTACAATTTAAATTTCATTAGTTAGCCCATTCGGATACACCCCTGTATAATACGTTCACAATGATTATTCGACCGGTGCGGTGGAATGTTTGCTGAGGGGTCGTAAATATGAAAGTCACCCTTAGCCACCCCTGGTTTGTGTATTTTTTTGTCCCGCCGGATTCGTGCTCGGGCGAGCGCTCACATTTTCGCAAAGCGGCTGGCTGGCCGCTCGGTATCGGGTGCTGCCATCGAAAAATCGACGTCTGTACCTAGTCCGCACACGAAAGCCGGATCCCTTCCCTCCCCCCCTCCCCCGCTGCGCCAGCTCCGCTTCGCTTACACGCGAGTGTAGTGGCCGCACGCGTGAATATCGCTTACGTGGACCAACCTCGCCAACTCGGGACTTCTTCCTATCGTCGCCCTTATCGTGACGTTTAACGAGCGCAGGTCACGTTGTATATCCAGGGTGCTCGCTTTTTATGCGACCGTACCGCAATGGTAAGTTAACTCTCCGATACAGGGCGAGGAGATAAGTGATAAAGGTGGTCGAATGGCGAGTCGGCGGGAAGAAATAATTATCCACCACGCAATAAAACACAGCGACTCTCTACGACGCGCCCGGGCTCGTTATGACAATTACGTAACGCTACGCCCTCGCTTGAAGACACGTCGTATATTTAGAATAACGGGCTTTTTATACGATCCCGCTGTAATGGTAATCTAACCCCCTCGACGCGGGAGGAAAAAAGATAGATGATAAAAGTAGACGAATGAGTCGATGGAAAGAAATAATTAATCATTATGCTGCTGAATAAAACATTCGATCCCCCTTCTCTCTTCTTTTTCAACACTCTCTCCCTCTCTCTCTCTCTCATACATTGATTCTCATACATGTATTATTCAAATAAAATTCAACGAAGTATGAAACTAAAAATACAATATTAAATGCAGATACAGCCTAGATTTGAGAATGTGCGGAATTTAATTTCAATATCTTTCAATTAGTCTCGGAATATAGCTGAATCATTGGAAATTAATGTCATTTTAAAAGATTCTAATCTGACAATGAGAGAACATTTTCTAAATTTACACAAAATCTTGTTAATAGATTATTTTAAAAGCTATAGGTACTATTATTAAGTAGCAAAGTCTCGAAAATGTTCTCAGAGGAATCTTTTTAAGGCGATATTAATCGCCGAGAGTTCTTAGCGCGATATTATAAAATTATATGCACTATATCTGTGTCGGATTAGATCAGAAAATGTCTGCAGATATACAAAAATCACGATCTCATACGTATCCCTTTTATTTGACTTTTCGCATGCAATGCATGTTAACCCCCGTGGAGGGCTTCTGCCTAAGAACCGTAAAAATCAGAGGTTAAGAGCTTACCTGTAGATCGGGTTGACGTCATTCTTGTACCAGATGATCAAGATAGCGGAATCGTTGTGATGAGGTGGACGAATATCGCATGGCAGCTCGGCCGTTCCACCGAGGACCGCTCTCGTAGACAATGGCGGCCCTAAAACACGAAAATACTGATCAGATAGTTGCCACGTGCATCTTCCATCCGATTTTACGACCGGAAGAATTTTATGGGATAGCACTTTTAACTCTTTACTCTCAACGATAGTTGCTCAAAACAATCGCTTTTACAAACATATTATTAATGCATTCGTTAATGCATTTCTCGAATTTTTTTCTGTTATTTTGATTCATAAATACAAAATCGTTAATGACTAGTTACACATATTTATATATGATACAATAAAAATGATAATAATGGATAATCGAATGGGTGCGATAGAATTTATGAGACAAGTATTACGTCATTAAAAAAAATTTTGATTTCATTCGATTAATAAATAGCAAGCAAAATTTTACGCTGTCTTTTATAAATAAAAAAATTGCCTTTCGCAAATTTGTCTCTTCTCGACAATTTTATATTCTCTCTTAAATCGCAAAGAGCATCGTAATATTAATTAAGAATTTAATACGAGCGACCATAATGCTCACGCAGAAAAAGAAAAAGAGATAGATTTCATATTTATTTATTTAACTTATTTTCACAGCGTAAACGCGAGCGAATAAAAAGCGAAACTATGTTCTTTCATCGACACAGGCAACGACTAATTCGATACCGAGTAATCGCATCATCGTGACACAACGCGCTTCCATGTTCAAAAAGATCTATGTTATTATTACCCTCCCATTGCGTCACCGATAACTTCGAGTGGTCATTTCATTTCGACGTAGGAAATCCGTTTTTACTTACAAATAACAGGGTGGACTGATGCAGGTGCGACACGAAAGGTGATGGCGCGTTTCATAGAGAACCAGTCCTTTACCAAGAAACCAGTCGTGTATTATCGTTATTATCGTTACCGTACACACGGCGTACATCATATTTGCTTCCAACTTCGATAATTTTCTAAATTATCCCTTCACGTTAATGCCCTCGCATTACGTACTGCAAAGGTATGTATAACTCAGAATTTTAGAAAGTCGTTTAGTTAAGGAGAAGCTTTAGTAATCTAATACTCTTCACGATTAAAATACAATTTTAATGATTTTCATAACTAATACACCGCTATTATCAACTTTTTCAACCGACTAGACATGCTATTACATCGACTTTTTCGATTAAACACGAAATCATTATTTCATTATACGAATAAATATCGGAGGCACAACAGTCACTTAATTTAATTTGATTTTAATCGATTTAAAAGATCCAAGACGATTTTGTCATATATGCGGCGATGGGGAAAATAATACTAGCAAGTGTCGCCAACAATGAGAGATAAATTCAGCGATTCATACAGCGTCAAGTCCGACGAAATCTATATATGATCTATACATTTTGCCTCTCCCTTCAAGACGATTGAATGCTTCTGAGATGAAATGAGAAAAAAAAACGAATCCGGGCGAAGATATCGACGTTATGCAAAATGGAGAAAGGTCACGTCACAATTTCGCGCTCCAGAAAACGCCGTTTCCACTGGACGGCGTCCTGAGCATTTGGTCTGGGTCAGGTATTGAAGGATCGGCGAGAATATTTGCGGAGGAGATGCGGCGGGCGACGGAAGAGAGGATGCCCTCTGCCCAGGGAGAGGACAACGCGGCCAGCCGGCTGGCCGGCCGGCGTGCCGGAAAACGGAAACGGATATATATATGCCGGTTGTCCGAGAGTATTAAAACTGAGCGAATAGCGAATGGATTTCCTTTCCAGTCTGTCGACTGTAGAGGAAACGTGGATCCGTATGTTTGCTCTCTCTCTCTCTCTCTCTCTCTCTCTCTCTCTCTCTCTCTCTCTCTCTCTCAACAATTGTTGAATTTTTTCAAATTCCTCAGCTCTCTCAGTTTTCGAATTGAACGTCAAACAAAGTGATTCGCCGAGATCCCCAAATGTTCTGTGATTCTCATCAAACTTATTTAAAAGTTTCGCCTGCATGCGAGACAGAAAGGGTGAATAAAATAAGCAGCAGCGGACCCGATTGGCTATTAATTTACGTTTTCAATTCTCGCACGGGGAGAGCTGTTGATTTTGTGAAAAACTGATATATGATATGCATGTGGAAAATCGTACTGAAAATAATATCAAAAATAGTATCGAAAATGTCTGTTAAATAATAGTTTCGCAAATATTAGCTAACTGTTACGAAATAAATATATTTTTATCAAATATATTCCCTGAAGATCGATATATTCCCTGAAGATATTGTTTCTTTCACTTTTAAAATATTCTATTTCTATTAATTATGTGATATTTATTCTGATTATTATTATGAATCTCTTATTATTTTCTAAAGACTATTATAACGTGAATCTCTTATTTTCTAAAGAATATCATGACGTGTGCAAACATATTTAGGTGAGAATTAATACTTTAGAGAAAAATTCATATATATAATAATTTGAAAATTTTCAATAAAAAATATCTTGTAAAGATGATCAGATAACAGATCTTCTTTTCTTAAAAGCGTAAAATAACATTTACAATATTATTTTTGTTGTAGGTATACACTCAAAAATATTACGTCACGTCCCTCATTTGCAGAGAACAATGTGATATGCGTAGCGAAAGTGGCGGGCATTCCATTATCAAACTTGGCGAAAACCTTTATCTTACCTCATCCAATTTCTGAGCTTCTGTCATAAGAGTCATTTCTCTTCCTTATATTTTTCAGCCCCCGTGAGCGATAGTTCGCACGGCGCGCCATATTAGGTCTCTCGTTTCAAGTTTTGAATTTTTAAGCAGAATTTTCACTCTGTGCCGCCGTCACGAGAGAGAATATATTATGCAGCCCCTAATTTACCGTCCAAGAGCTGGTCGCTTCAGTCTCACGGAGCGGAGGGACGAGTTTACGCGGATGGAACAAATGGAAAGGGTCCCGATGTCTATCTCACCGTTTATTCGGATGTTCCACGGCTCACGATGATACGGCTGAATTTTAAACGCGAGACTGGCGAAAACGTTATTATAGAAAACGGCGCATCAGCCTTTAATTAATATTTAATCAATTATATTTGCAATTGTAAGAGTAGGAGAGGCGTACATTTTGTAATAATTACTTCGTTCTCCTGTGTACTTTCATTACGATAATGTATCTTTTGCATTATCACTGACATAGAGTGATAATAGTTAATTAAATTTGACTATCATAATTTCGCTCGATGTGCATTAATTTTAATGCTCTTTATTGGATTTGGTAATTTTCTAAATTACTAACATATACAAGATTACACGATTTACGCTAATTTAAAGCCAACTTGAAAGAGAAAAAAAAATTTAATTGAGAACTCATAAAAACATAATAGAATTAATAACATAATGAAAACTTTCGAATAAAAGAAATCTAAATATTGGCGTGTATAAAAAATTAAAAGAAATAGAAATTATTAAAAAAAAAACATAATATAATTAGTACTCAGGAATTACATTGAAGTCATTAGTAATAAAATAATAGTTTCATAACACATATCCAAAAACAAGAAGACCATGGGAATACGTTGGTTAGATAAATCCTTTAGAAATGTAAACCGAAACGCGCGTTCCGGTCCAACTGCAAACAAATCACGCAGCTCGAACCAACGGATGGCGTTGAAACTACCTGTAGTCACATCATATGGGATTCTTCCTAGTTTCGAATCCGGGGCGGTGCACTCCGGCGTAGAGAAAAAAAGTGCATTGAAATTTCACTGTGTGGATTTTAAGCCGGCGCGCGCCGATAGACGCCAATCCCTTTGGCGTATTCGCGATATAAAGTACACATACCGGGGGATATCCGTCGCAATAGGATTTTACATGACAAGGGAGAAAGAAAGGGAGAGAAAGAGCGCGTTGATTTTCTTGATTAAATTATCCGGATCCAAAATTTTCTGTTAACCGATCTCGCGGGGCGTCCGCAAGATATATGCAGAGGCGCGTGTAAACGTTCCCCCGTTGTCTCCTCCGAATGATTGCCGACGAGAGTAATCCCGTTGTGCGTCGGGGTCAATGCATCCGGCAGACAGAGAGACGCTAATTAAATTTGCAGGCAACCGAAGTGGCACCACTCCGCCGCCGCCGCTGCCGTCGCCGCCGCCGCCGCCGCCGCCGTGCGCGTGAGCCACCTTTTTTCTCGCACATTATACATTTATACTCAGACACGAGGGGAGGGTGAGGAGTCCGCGCCTCACAGACATCTTTACCGCGCGCTCCTCCATTTTTCTTGCGTCCCCGTAGCTCATAGAGTTAACGTTAACGGTGTTACCCGGCGCTCGGGAACGCGCGGGAATGCTTTTTACCTGCCCCCTATCCCCATTTTCCCAGCCTGTCCTATACCGCGTATACGTATCTATACGTATACGTACGGGGTAGAGATCCGGTCTCGCGTGTACGCCCGGTATAAGCGTACAAAACAACGGTTTTCACGGCGTCCGCTAAATTTCCCTTGGGCTGCCCGCGGTGCATTATGTGTCCTGAAGGGTAGCGGGCAACTGCTGTGCGGATCGCCCCTGTCGTCCCGCGTCGTGCGCCTTGTGCACCACCCCCTCTCCCTTCTTCTCTCCCCCTTTCGTGTGTGTCTCGCGTGATCTTCCCTCTGTTGCGAGCCCAGGAGGCAAACGGCGCGCGACAGCCGCGAATCGCGCTGAAAAGCGTTTTTGAAAAAAACGAGAGGCCCTCCCGTGACGCGCCGTCTGCCTATTTGACATACTTTTGAAAAAAAAAAAAAAAACCGGGACACAACGCGAAAGCGTGAATAGCGCGAGCCGGTGCAATCCCTTTCGTCGGTACGCGAGGGATTCTTCCATGGGTTTCGCGTTTCATTGATGATTTTTTTCAACGAGACGGGCGAATGTTGTGCCTGTTGTGGAGATTTGTAGAAGTTGTACCGTTATCCCGACGAGAGAGAGAGAGAGAAGGTATTTTTACACTCTGATTTTTGCTTCGCAGAAATCCCCACGTCGAAGTTAACGAATGTTTACTACAAAAAAAATTATCAAGCGACTCAGATTAGTTTTTATTTCGTTATCGACGCTATATTGGAACACTCCACCCTTTCTCAAACTGACTCGAAAATTGGGCTTCTACCACGATGAAAAACAAAATTTTCGTTCTATACACGTTGCAGGGCATGTTGGAGTGAATTTCCGCCTCGACGAGAAAGAATAACATTGCGTACGTGATACTACCCGTCTCTCGCGCGAGAGAGATAGTTTCTTCTTTTTTCCCCGCCCTCCCCCCCCCTTCCCGCGCCGCTCCTCCCGGCGGATCCAATTTCGAAAATTTAATACACGTCGTGTAGCAGCAAACTAGCTCGCGAAGTTTTGAAAATCGCAGCGCCCGATGATTAATCCTCGGGAGCCACGTGAATCACGTCATCCGAGGATGTAATCGTGCGGCAGGCAGTCGATATAATATGTGTATTTTTATACAAAATATTCTTAACAATTTAGTCCAAACATACGAGTATCGATATGGAAATGTTCGATACGGAGTATAATGTACGAAAAGACATTCTTCTTTTTGCAACTCGAATTTTTGCGGGAAATATACACATGCACGCGCGAGAGATATATCGACACACAGAGAGCCACGTATTGCGCGACGTATTGCTGTTGCCAATAGGTGGAATTACACAAAGTGTATTACGTCAAAGTGACGATTCTTTCGGAGAATTTCGTCGGAAAAGTGTGCGCTCTCCGGTGCCACAGCGGTGCGGATATTTACTATGTAACGCGGCCCCGCCGCCGCCCGCGCCGGGAGGAAAGTGATACCGTCGACGCAGCGGAAAAGCCGCTCTTTATGAAATGCTGCTGAATCGACGGGCGGTGCGGTTTTCAGGCGATGTGCCTGCCTCTCTGGTCCTGCACGGCGTGCGCGCGAGAGAGGGTTTACACAAGTCTCGCGCGGGAGGAAAATGAATAACACAAGGAAAGGTTGCCAAAATCCGAACGGAACGAAAAACGAGATCGATGGCGAGAGCGATGGAGATCCCCGGGCGCACGAGAAACATCTTGTTTGTATAACAAAAACTCTCTTCCACATCGCTGCCGCACCTGCTTCAAAGATCGCGACGAGGTGAAAAATAGATTCGAACTTTGTCAACAAGTTCGTCCCCTGAAACGGGCACCGCATGTTATGCACGCCATTCCGAATACAGCTGCAGTAATGTATTCGACGCGTTAATTTACAAGGGTTTCAATTTGCACGGTAGTTTCCAAAGCATTAAAGCAGCAACAACGCAAATTAAGAGCTGTCTGCGAGCTAACGATCGATATGCGCATGTAACTCGCAACTCGCGACCCGCAATAATTATTAAAACGACAATAGGGTGTAAATATCGCGACGGTGTAACTGTCAAATCGGAAAGATTTTCAAAAGCGGACGAATTCGCTTCTATTTTCGACTGATTCCCTCCAACCTTCGTTATTGTAATAACAACACCGTAACAAACGAGACTAAAAAGTATTTATTACTGCTGTTATACAACTTTGCGCAAACAATTCGAATGATCAAACTCTCTTTAATGGCAATTCATTTTAACGACTCATGCATTCTCTTAGATACTTTACGATTGCTATAGTTTGTCTTGCTTAACTGATTAGCGCGACGGCGTATTTCGCAGTCTTCACATCGCGCGGAGGAGGAGGGGGGGAGGCCCAGATACGCGAATGGCTCACCGATAAGGAATACACGAGAATGCGGTGGCGGCGCTGCCGAAGCTAGAGGCCGGAAATCAGTGTTACGGCTGCCCCTCGTCTAGGCGAGCCCTTACCGCGCGCAGAAATAACCCAAACGGGAGTTATCCGGCTAAGCCGATAATCCGCGGGTCAGACAGTGTCGAGAAGCCGTACAACTTTGCTTAGCCCCGCCCTTCACCCCTCGGCCCCGTCCCGTGCCCTACGGCCGTCCACGGAAACCTGCGGTTAGCTGGGAGCTATCGTTTCTGCGCTTTGGCCACACCTCGTGGAAATCAATTTACTCTCTCGATTCGGGCGATTCCACGGGATCGGCGGGGAAAGATCGCCACGGCTGAGCGAAGACGGGGATTAGGGAGAATAAATACGAGGATTTCCCGCGGAGTCTTTAATAATCGAAGACATAGTCGATGTCGCGGTTCGCCGGTTTCGACCGTAATTTAAACGGCAAGGTCAAAGCGTTCCGGTGGAGAAGACGATTGGCAAATATACGGTGATTAAAAGTCCATTTAATTTTGTAGTTGACTTTATCAACAATGATTAACCTATACGCACATTCGTAATAATGTTTCATTACTTTAAAGATTCACGTAATTAATGTACTCGTAATCGAAAAATAATATGCTTTAAATTGGATTGAATTTTTTTTAATCGGATTATATACAGTTTGGTCGTACACAACTATTTTTAAATTGGAATTATGTTCAACTTGAAAAATTCGTTTTTATTCACATTTTATCATGTTTTTATTTCTTTTTCTTTTAGAATGAAAAATTTATTTAATCTTCAAATTTCATCACTGGTCCTCACATTTTTATGATTATTGCAATTTACTCGATTCTGTTTTTTGTTATAATAAAAAAATATATAAAAACTGAATGCTAAAATCAAAGATTTAAATTTTTGTATTATAAAATTGGAATGTTAAAACTTATTTCAAAATTCGTATATTACATATCACACAAATCAAATCACCATAAGTACACAATACAAACCTATACAAAGTTAAAAAAAATTCAAGATCATTTTTCCATTTCAAATGTTAATCTCACATGACCCGACTGTCGACATCGATTACACTGCCCACCGAAAATCCGATCGATTCGTTTTTCCAATCACGCAGGTGTTCCTGTATAGCTTCTTCGTTTCACGGGGCGGAAAACAACCCGGAAACGAGTAAACTGTGAGACCCCCCCGTTTAATCGAGATTAATTGCCCGATCAACTCAGCCCGTGTCAAGTTGTCGAGAACGAGCACCGCGTGTGTCACGTATCGCGCGCGAAAAGAAGGAAGGGAGATTCATTTTATTCTGAAAGTACTTCGTAATCATCAGATCGCTCCGCGCAGTGAGAGCGTTCAAATAATAAAATCGGAAACATCACTTCTATATGCGTGCGAGTGTGTTTGTGTGTGTGTACGTGCGCGCGGGCGAAGATATACGTTGCTCCGAGAGAGCGTGCAATATCGTCGAGTTTTAGGGTTTTCGCAGCTGTGACAACGGCTGGCCGCAAGGCGGTGCCCCGATTTCCCCCGAAACTCTCGTCCAATATCATCATAACCGTAATTCCACCGATTCCATTGGGAACTTTTTTCCATTCGTACCGTGTGGCTCCTCCGACCGTGTGTGTGTCCCTCGTTGTCGTTCTCATCCTCGGGAACACGAGGTGTCCTCCGAGAGAGACTTTTTGCGAACTCAGGGCACTCCGTAATGCGGTACTCCTTGCGGCAGACAAAATTATTTTGCGGAATTTATTGCTTCCTTCTCGACAGATTGCAATACGTCTGTGTACATCGCGATGCGCAATATCGCATTCAGCTGTTACTCAGTTTCGTAATTATAATTAAAAGCGAATATCTTGATTTGCGAAAGTGTTGTGCGGCGAACAAATGGTCTTTTAAGTCATGCGAAAATCACAATGAAATAAATAAAAGCAAGATTACGCAACGTAACGAATTTATCTCCTCGCGTCCGACAAGCGGCGTCAATCACTCATGTTGATCCCCGCAGTACGAAACATCCATCTTAGATCGTCCAGATATCCGACGATGTCAGTGATGCGCGGTGGCGGTTCCATGCAAGCGACCCCGAGCGTATGTACTAGCGTCATGCTTTTTGCAATCTGATTTCCTCTCGCTCGATGCTCCACTTCAAAGCGTAACGTTTAGCCGCTCTTGATCGGCTGTATAACTCGGGACACTTTTGAAGGAAAACGTGAAACGAGAGAGAGAAGATAAAGGAATGCACGCGCACGAGCATATCGTATCTCCCATGGATAGACGGGCACTTGGATTTCGCAAAACTAACTGCTATTAAATCGCATGACTCTCGGATCAAGCTCAACGACGACATACAAAGGTGATTAATTTCTAGCATTTAGAAAAACGAACTGAAGTCTTTTTTTTATAAAACTAAAAGACTCCTCTAATATTAGATCGCGACTAGAAAATATTTTAATAGAATGTACACGTTTCTGCTTCAGATAGATGTAAATTTATTAATTACAGCACAATTTAATTTGTTTAAAAAAATTGTAAATAGTGATAATTTAACTAACGCAGCTCTCTCTATAGCTTTATACTTTTATGGCATCACAGCTTCGTCATATAGCTTTATAGCTTCATTATTTTATTTTATTTTGATGGTCCCGCGGTATATATTTCGACCATTTCACTGAGATGATATAACATGCTGCGTACGGCAGCTGTTTTTGTTTCTTTATTTGTTTGGTCCGCTACTCTACTCGACATCAAAGCCTGCACAGCTCGGGCAATTTCGACCAACCTTGTCGTTTACGCGTCGAGTTTACTCGAGGGAAATGTGATGGAGAAAGCGGTGCGCAGAATACACCCGTTACCCGTTGATCCACTATGCAAAAGCCTACGAACTTGTAGTACCACAAACTGTTGTGCTTGTTTTCGCACGTGCCAAACCTGTTCTGTGATTCAAGTAAATTAGATTCTCAAGAAACAAAGGATACCGTACGTTTACCGACATTTTGCTAATAGAAAGCAAACGAAGGTTAAGTAGTAATGACATGAAAATATGTTGAAAAAGGAATCAAAGTAAAGTAATCGTATAGTGATGATTGCTCGTAAATGTTCTTAAGTCATCCACACAAAATATTAACATTTTATAATTACCTTCTAAATCTGAATCAGTGGAAACTCACTGATAAGTCACTGATTGAGTCAGGAACTATAATTTAACATAACCTAACGCTTTGCATTGCCAATAAATAAGTGAAACAGAGCCGAATCCGCTGCGCAATTAGCGGAAACTGCAAAGTCCATTGATTTTTCAACGATTACAGCGATTTTTCACTTATTTATTAATGCTGCGACTGCATTCATTTCAATAGTGGGAATAATAATCATTGATAATCAGTGACTGTCCACTGATTCAGATTTAGAGAGCATATTTAGCAAGAGACATGTGAGGCTTTTATTTAGTATAGTCAGTCAATAATATTATATAAAATGAAACTATAACGCACTCTTATGTTTCGCAATTTTTTTTTAAATGTCTCGGCAGAAAAGTTATTTATATAGCGATTCTTTTGAAGATCTAGACTTATCATTGCAATCTCATCTACAAGCTTTTGCGAATATGATGTGTAACAAGCCAAATATAAATCCTCGCGATAGAAATGTATACAAAGATCGAGCGCTGATTGAGTGTGTCAATCTAGTTTCTGTTCGCATTTTCCAAGGAGGATAATGGATCGAGAGGTTTTCCGAGTGAGTTTACGGGAGATTCATACTCGATTCACCGCCGATAAGCTCACTCGTAAAGATAAAGACGGAGATACCTAGAAAATACTCGAGGGACCCCGGATGCTTTCAGGATAGACAAGGCAATACGATTTCGAGCGAAATACTTTTTGTTTCAGCGTGAAAAGGGAAAAGAACGAAATGCACTTAATAAAGCACTCTATTTTTCATAGCTGCTCCAGATCCTCCTCGGCCTTTTAAGCATTAATAATTGTTCGGCTGAAAATGCAAAAGCGATGTAAACGCTAAGAAGATGGCGTTGAATAAAATAGAGAAATACAACAGGATTTCATATAACAGAAACGTGTAACAAATGTAGAGGAAAAAAGAGGAATGATTTGACAGTGTCGAGATCAATTAACGATAAACATAATTTGTTTCGAGCAAAACTTAATAAGATCTATCGACAAAATTTTTAATTATACAAAAACTAACTGGCATTGATAATTGTAGATGTGTCCTCTGAAATTTATCGTAAACATTTAGCGTCTGAAATATACGTGTACAGCTCGATTTGCCATTACATCCTTATCTCCGCCTCTTTTGCTATTTGCATGGCGGATTTTGTCAAACGTAAGTTCGCCTTCTAATGAATAACAAAGTTCTTTATCGCTCACGACGCTTCTTTTGTCGCCGCCGGTGAGAAAATCTGCTCTCGACTTGTCTCCACTACCCTCGCGTACTTATATTCAGTCCTTTGTCTGGTACGAAATACCGGCTGTTGCACGTACTCGCACTTTTTCCCGTTCTTCTCCCCGCCTTGTTCACGAGTATTCTCTTAGGTTCCGGAGATTTTCTCCCGGTTAAAGCCGAAGGGCGAAAATGCCGTTAATGGGGTCGTTAAGGGTCTCATTAACGTTCTCGCAAGGCGGTCGCGGGGGGAGAGAAAGGGATGGATAACGACGAAGTAATTAAAATTTGATCAACTTCTTACAAAACCGACTCGTTACTTTTTTTTTCCAAATAGCGGCATGCAACACGGTTATTCCCTCGTCACTCGAAAGCCTAACGACATTGGGTAAATATTGACAAACTTGGCGCAATTACTCCACTCTATCTCATAACGAATGTGTATAAATGTCTTTGAAGTTTTTTTTTAATAATTTGAAATTCCCTTCCTATAATGGAAGCAATGGGAACTATCGAAACGCTCCGCGCGGCGGGTGCAAACGGCTCCTTGGTGATCGCGGGCAACATCCGCGTGTATATACCTTGGGTGCGATTTTTCGTTCGGCAGTTACTTATGAGCCGAATCGAAGTTCACTCTCGATAGGGCGAAAGAGAAATGCCACGGCGAAGGGAGAAGAGGAAGTATGATGAATAAAAGGGAAGGGGAACGAGAGCGCGGGCGGGGTAGGTGCCAGGTCGTAACCGTAGAACGATTTCGCCCGAGGGAACGTCCTGCGCCGTATGTCCTCTGCATACAAATGCCTTTCCTATAGCCGTTCACCGAAGCCATCAGGGTTACCGCAGAACGGAAGATCGGCTTGCCAATTTTAAAGGCCGTTTGTGAGTGATGTACAACGTCTGTGCGCACATCTAGCGCGCGCGGGGGGGTGTCCGGGCTGTTCATTCGACGGGTACGTATCGGACGAAAGAGCATATGCTCTTTCTATATATATACCTCCTGGCGCGCGCGCGCGCGATTCCGTATTGGCAATAAAAACGTATTCCTGCGAATACGTGGATACGGCAGTATGAAGCAAGGTTGTTTACGGTGGAAAGCGCTGTAATAGTTTCGTGCAATTTATTGTCAAGACCGTCTGACCTGGAAAATAACTGGACAATAAATCAAATTCGCTCTTGATATTGGATTTAAATCAATTACGCCCCCTCCCCCCTTCTCTCTCTCTCTCTATCTTTCATTTAACTGTTAATCTCGCGATTGCATTATGCGATTAAGTATCAAATTAGATTGTACTTGTGCGTCAAATTAAACACTTTAAACGTGAGCTAGAAACTAGAGAATTTTTCGCGATTTGTTTCACACAGATAAATAATAATTAAATTATTCTTAAATGAGAGAAGCAAGTGCATGTACATGAATAGTGCACCATTGTTAATTACTTCGTTTCACCGGCAGTCAATTATCTTTGCATATGGTAAATATATAACGCAAAATTGTATAATTGGGATATAATCTATATGCATTAATTAGAGACAAAAATGCTGATGAAAGATGCATTATGTGTGTCCAAATGCATTATCAGGCTAATACGCAAATTAATAAGCGGTTACTGTGTATTGGTTTAATAATTGTAATGATGGCCAAACGTTTCTGTGATCCGTTCGCGTTAATAATTCGGGCCGAAAATATTTTGCTGCGGTATCATGCCAGAAGTTTAATGTTTAATTTGGCAGCTTTTTGAAGGGGAGGGAGGGGAGGAGAGCGTTATTTGATCCACCATGCGGAACAATATCTCTATTTTGCTATGACGTTATAAATTTCAACGTCCCACAGAGAGAGCGAGAGGAAGAGAGAGAAAGAGAGAGAGGGACGTATACTCTATGTGTATTTCAATTTTATTAATTTAGTAATTAAAGCAGTCGATCGCAGTCGCGCGGTTCCGCTAGAGATATGCACGCTTCGGTACGCTAGATTTAATTAAGGTGCATGCATTAATTCGTTTGCACGCCCCGGGAACTTCGGTTTTACAGCTTTTGTTATAGCGCAAATTAATCACGTTAATAATAGCAATGATAACAATAATAATAATAATAACAACAATGATAATTATTATTATTTGCATAATAGGCACCGATAATGGGCGCGCAATAACGTTCGCTTATAAATTCGTATTCACGCTTTTAATAGCGATGTTCGGATCCGTGCTTTCCGTCGTCGCAAGAACGACGCGGCGGCGGCAACTCGCTCGCCACAAAAAGATGTGCATAAAACGGCGGCAACTCGCTCCCGCGTGCTGTACGTAGCGCCACACCCGGCTGCATCAGCTGCGCACCTGCATTCGCCTCTCTTTAGATGTCGTGTCATATAAGCTGTTGCGACACATTAGATCGCTGTGGAAACTCTCAATAAGAGCGACGTGCACTTTCCCGCGACGCGACGGGCGGGGACGGGGGCGTGCGCGGGGGGGGGGCGATGCGAAACGTCTTGCGGTTAGTTTCGAGGCGTTTCGGGAGGGAGGACTGAAGTTCTCTTCGGCGCGCGATATTCACGACGAGGCGCACGGAGCACTCAAAAAGTTTGGCGAAGAACAAGGGGAGAGGCGAGCGCTTCAAAGTGAAAACGGTATTTCCGAGAGCGATTAGAGTTCTACGACAGACGGCACGGAATACCTGCGCCGCCGGATAATTACAACGTGCGGTGCAGCATGCC